ATATGATTGACATCTTGAATATCGGAGGCGAGCCGATCTTTGATGATCGTATCGTCAAGATTGAGACTCATACGTACAATCCATACGCCAACACAACGCTTGGATACAGCGACGAGATACTGATACCGATACAACATCAAGATTTGTACACGTTACCATGTGAAAGTTTTCTATACGTCGAGGGAAAGTTGAGGGTGCGTAAAGTAGCTGAAGGGGGAAGAGTGGTATTGGGCAACAATTGTGTCGCGTTTATGTTTGATGAACTTCGATATGAACTCGACGGTGTGGAGATTGACCGCAACAGAAACGTTGGAATAACTTCCACGATTAAAAACTATGTCTCTCTAACAACCGAGAAAGGTAAAATCTTAGAGGATGCTGCGTGGAATATGTCGCATAATGCTGAAGCTTACTTCAATTTTTGTGTGCCGCTAAACATACTATTAGGTTTTTGCGAAGATTATAAGCGAGTTGTGATCAACGCTCGTCACGAATTAATTCTGATACGTTCGCGCAACGACAACAATTGCATATTTGGACATGCTTCGGCTGAAGCTGATATCGAATTATTCAAGATACAATGGCGTATGCCACATGTAATATTGAGCGAGGTCAACAAACTATCCTTGCTACGCGCGTTGGAAAGCGGGCGATACTTGAATATGAGTTTTCCCTCTTGGGATCTATAGGAATTTTCTCTATTGCATAATACGACCAAGCATTCGTGGACCGTGAAAGCCGCCTCTCAGCTGGAGAAGCCGCGATACGTGATCTTTGCGCTGCAGACTGGCAGAAAAAATGCTGTGTCAAAAGATATTACTACATTCGACGACTGCAAATTGACCAACGTTAAACTCTATCTAAACTCGGAATTTTATCCCTACGATGATTTGAATTTAGATTTCGATAAAAATAGATTCGCCCTCTTATTCGATATGTACTCTCGTTTTCGCGAATCTTATTACGGATGTGATAATGATGATGTGCTATTAAACATTTCAAAATTTCTACATTGCGGTCCTCTCGCGGTTATCGATTGCTCGCGACAAAACGAGTCTGTCAAAAATTCCACCGTGGACGTAAGATTAGAGTTTGAGTGCAAGGATGATATACCGGCAAACACTACCGCCAATTGCCTCATCTTGCATGATCGCGTTGTCGAATATTGCCCATTGACCAACGTAGTTCGTAAAATTACCTAAATCAGCAAATATCCCCTCCAATGTCAAAAATATATAAAGATTGAGATTTGACGATCGACAGCAGTCATACATCATTCTTGCAGTCGTACGGTAATATTATCGGCATGATCGCGCCAACGTTTGTAGATCTGCAAGGATTCATTATCGGGCGAAACTTTGTCGTAAAAGAAGTAGCGATATTGAGAAATTGGCTTGTTCTCTCTCATTACTTTTTTGCAAGTCCCGTACCATGGCGTGCGCTTACAAAATCTGAGAGATGCCAAGCTTCATGGCTCATCAGACATCACCATGGACTTCAATGGGAGGATGGAAACGTTCCATACAGCTTCGCTAGGCGTTTGATTACGAGAGCTGTGATGGGTGCTACGGAAGAGGAAGAGGAGTATCTTCTATCGTGTACGTTAAAGGACACGAAAATCGAGAATGGTTGACCGATATACTTGACAATGATGCGAGAAATGACGTTATTATTGAGACCTTGGATACGGACTATGAAGATATCACTTCGTTAAATAAGCTAGATGTTACTAATACTATGCGCTGTGAAAAACATTTAAAAAATTGCGCTTTACAAAATGTATTTAAAATATTCAATTGGTGGACGAATCATCATAAAGATTCATCCAAACATTATTTAGAATAAACTATTGTTAAAATATATTTTCATTCTTTTTTATTCTTCCTTTTCCTCTTTCTTATCCTAGTATGCGAGTATTAAATTTCAGTACGTGACGTTAGATAACGGCGTCAGCTAGTTAATTAAAATATAGATGTTACATTTCAGTACATGGACATAAACTTTAAATATTTGAATGGTGTATAAATAATTGTTTTGTCGTTCGATAGTCGTTCAATAGTCGTTTATAGCTGTTCAAAGCCGTTCGATAGTCGTTCAAAGCCGTTCAAAGCCGTTCAATAGCCGTTCGATAGTCGTTCATATCCGTTCAAAGCCGTTCGATAACCGTTCAAAGCCGTTCAAAGACGTTCGATAGCCGTTCAAAGCCGTTCGGTAGCCGTTCAAAACCGTTCAAAAGCCATTCGATAGCCGTTCGATAGTTGTTCATACCCGTTCAAAGCTGTTCGGTAGCCGTTCGATAACCGTTCAAAACCGTTCAAAAACGTTCAATGGCCGTCCGATAACCGTTCAAAGCCGTTCGGTAGCCGTTCGATAACCGTTCAAAGCCGTTCAAAAGCTGTTCAATAATCGTTCGATAGTGGTTTACATATTATAATAATATATTATTCATATTTAAAAGACTTTAAATAATTGTCCGACGAAACATGCTAACTTTTGTTTTCTTATCAAGAGTTGAGAGTAAGCGTTCTTCGTAAGTGATACATTTACTCTAAAATGTTCGAGACAATGTCTATCCCGATATGTTCGTCACAAAGTGTTTGACAGCGAATAGAGAAGAAGTCTATTAAGTGTTTTCCAAATGAAGTTTAAAAAATGCCATCATTGATTGAAGCCGTGTTGTGCCGAGGCCGATTGAACGCGTCATGGTGGGCGAAGGACCTGGCGATGGGAGCCTGGTGTTGAGAGCCCTGTTGAATGTGGTGGTATAGAGTGAAGAAAATTGCATTTTTTATTTTATATCATATTAATTATTTATAATATATCTTACGCTCATATGGACGCCTCGCGCTATCCTCCCACGCCCATAGAATATCATTAGCGCTATCCTTCTCTTATACATTGCGGACGTCTTGCGCTATCTTTCTTCTACGCCTCCTCGCGGCATCGTACCTTCGCGTTCCCTCTTCCCCGCGGGTCCCTCGCCTATCGGTTTCGCCGCGATCCCCCTCTTCCCTGCGGGTCCCTCACCTATCGGTTTCGCCGCGGGTCCCCCTCCCCCTCTCCGCGGACCCCTCGCCTACCGGTTAAGTTAACGGGTGCCTCGCCTATCGGTTAGGACGCGGTCCCCCTCCCCTTCTCCGCGGACTCCTCGCCCATCAGTTTCGCCGCGGTCCCCCGCGTGACGTCATACCCCCGCGCTGATTTCCCCTCCCCCCCCCACCCCTCAGAGGACCTGGGTTAGAACTCTCCTATATATCCTATTCTTATGTCCCGTTACGCCGATGAGCGTTCTTTTCTTCTTTTATTAACGTTTCGCCTTTTAAATGTTTCACTTTAATTAGTGATATTGCGGCTCCTGTATCAAATAGCAAATTTATCTTTTCGCGTTTCGCTTCTCGCATTGGTAATGTGACAAGATCTAATCCTGTCTGTATATGTGGCGTATTTTTAAAGTCGGATACCTGATATTCTAGTGCAGGTCGATGCGACTTTCTCATCGCTACTTTGCGCAGAGTTAAATTTCTTTTTTCTTTGCTCGCTATTCTTGCGGTGTTTATTTTCCGGTCGCGAATTATATTGTTAGGTTCGGCTCGATTGATCTCTATTGGGTCGTCCGTGTAATAGACAACATTCTTCGCGATCGTTTAATTCCCTCATCGATATCTTCCGATGTGATGGGTTGCGATGCGGAAGCGTTTGAGTTATACATGTCTCGAGTACGATAGATTTTGTCGGGGTCAAAGATACTCGAATCGTATGACGTTAGTGAGAATTCGCGGCGGTGTGTTAGTCTACTAGACGCGCTTATCGATGATTCGTCCTAAAAATCTAGTTCGATATTATTCGCTATTAAACTGTTATCTAATCCGCCGAATGAAAATTCGCGTTCGATTACGTTTGCTCCGAGTTCTGGTTCGGACAAATTCTCGCTTGAATTTACTGCGCTTAGATTTCTTCGTACGTTATCGCGTATATCCCGGAGTGCTTCTCTTATAGGTTTTACTGCGCTATTTTTAGTGGCTCTATTCGCTGGTCCGCTAAATAGCCAAGATTTATTTGCTATGCTTTTTTGTTGCGCGTTTCGGTTTTCCGACATTCACGCGTTTACAAATTTTTAATTGTTCGACTTACAATAATACGATGGGCAGCATTGTCTCTCGTTCGATGTCGGCCGTCGGGCGTCGATCGTCGCGTGCCGTTGAGGTAGGTCGGTACGCCTTCTCAGGTTCCGCTTATCGTTGTCACCTTGTTGTACCGGGTGACTCGAAGTTCCTGATGGACTTCCCTTTTCCTCGGTTGTAGTTGTTGACTGTTTGACGGAGTTTCCCTTGCTGTCTCTCGTTCTGTCGATTCCACGGAAATTTTCTTCTTCGTGATTGTGAACCTTTGCCGGTGTCGATCTTGTTATAGCTGGCGTATCCCACCGCTGCCACCAATTAATGTTGTGCCTTTAGCCGCTAAGGAAGAGGTCTTTAGGAATTTATACGCCCAAAGGATTAGAATCCACGCTCGAAATAAGACACTCCCGGACGTTTGGTATAAATTGTTATATTTCACAGGTTCTTGTACCCTTTCACTTAGTCGCGATTATAATAGTCGGGCGCGATACGTACGGTATGTCGATACTGTTGATATGAGCGAACGCGTGAGCGAGCGATGTTAATGAGCTATGTTACTGAGCTAGCGTCGGTGCATCTCGTGCTCAATATATATTAATTAATTAGGTTGTTGATTAGGGAGGAGTGTGGTGTCCCTGACCGGAGCATGTCTCGTGCTCCGCTCGTCAGCTGTGTCGTCAGCTGCTTACTCAGCTTCCGAGAACGTGACCGTGACTTCCTTTTCTTTAGTCACGTATCTTACTTTTATTTTATTAATAATCTTTTATTACTTTACTCTTTCTTAATAATCTTTCCTTGATCTCTTTTCTAATTTTAATGCTTTGCTTTACTCAGCTCTTCCTTAATCTTTTCTGTTTTACTTTATTGTTTTATCTGTTAATATATTGAGGAATTGATCGGGTTACGATATTACGAAAGGAAACGACCGAGAATCAGTCGTGAATTTACAATCCTTCTTCAATGTAGAATTCATAATATGATACAACACAATAAGAAACAAAATTAGAATTGTGAATGCTGAAAATGAGATACTTATGAAAAAGAAACATAAAGAATCTATCATTTGAATTTACGCCTACAATCGGTATGAGTGTTGTTGGCGATGTAAGCAACAGGGCCACATCCGTCTCGGACTGCAAGCGATCCCCGGAAAAATTTTGCTCCCGATGTGAAAAGGATGGTATTCATTTGCGACTGTTACCCGCCGGTGAGAAACGCGCAACGGGCTAGGAAAATAGTGACCATTGTCCGCCCGAAAAAGACCGAATGAGGTTCAACCCTCGGGCATACATAAAAATCCTGATATTCGAGAGGCATCTATGAGGACTCCTGGACTCGGACTCCGAGATATCCTTTGTCAACTCCGCCACAGCCGAACGCGCAAAGCGGCGCGGACATTCGATAGATTCCATAGAGAAACGAATCAATCTGGCTGATAGGATTTCGGTCCCAATCACATTATCGACCTACCTTTAACCGTCGGCGAATGCATCATACATCACCGGTTCCAGATTCTACCGAACCTCGGCAGCCCCGTCCTGGTCAATCTATGGGCCAAACTCCGAATTACCCTGCCAGCACCATTGCCCGTCACCAGCAACACCCGCCGAACACTATGTCCAGCTGACAACGGATCAGTTCATCAAGCAGAGATGCTGACCCCGGAATCCCGCCATGCAAGCAATTATCAATCAGAAAGCCAAGAAAATGGAGAAAGAGGGCTTAATAGAGCCCTCACGAAGCGCGTGGAATTTTCCCATTGTGATCGCGAAGAAAAAAAACGGGACCCACCGATTCTGCATCGAGTTCCGGAAACTGAACGCGGTAACTGAAAAAGACGCCTACTCGTTGCCACATATCAACGCTACACTCGACAAACTTCGGGGTACCAGGTATTTATCGATACTGGATTTACGGCACAGGTATTAGCAAGTGTCCTTAACACCGGAGAGTCGACCCGCTATCACCTTCACAATACCGGGGAAGGGGTTAATGCAGTTCAGGATCATGCCATTCGGACTCCACTCGGCATCAGCCACCGTTCAGTGACTCCTGGACTCCTGGATTTTTCAGATTGCATCAATCGGAGATAACGTCGATAAAATTATATTTCCCTCTCTTTGTATTTGACAGTATTTTATATGTATATTTAATATATGAGAGAGATCACAAACAATACGACTGACTAGATCATCTGTCTGCACTTGCAACAGCGCCCAAGCTGCGCTATGAGTGACGCGCTTGGTCCTAAAACGAACTATCTTGAAAACTAAAAGTCTACCCATCTTGATCTTTGTCATCCATCTGATTTTGGACTCGTTATAAAGGGGAAAATTTCTACTTTCTTCAAGATTTTTTCAAAAAAATCGAAGATGTCCAAATTTGAGAAAAAACGATTTTTAGTTTGTTCTCCAAAAATCTTAAGTAAATTTTGACCTTTTAAAAAAACTGATTTTATAAGATTAAAGGGCGTAAAAAGACCTTTCGAAACCATTACCTGTTTTTTAAAATCGGAATCATCTACTGGAACTTATTAAGTTTAAAGTTGGACGCGACGGTCCAAATGATAAAAATTCAAGTTTCTATTAATAGAAAGCCTGTTGGTCGCGGGCCAAAATGTTTAGGCAACGATTTTACTTTTGATAGGACCACAATTTGTGCAAATTTCAGCATGATCGGAAAATTTTGAAAATTTGGGTACATCACTTCATAAATAATGCCCCATATACATATATACAATAGGATATCCTAAAACTACCATACTTCCTCTTAATGGCAGATTCCTTAGAACATTTCAAAACGAAAATCCTAATACAAAAATGTCAAGGCTATAATAGTTTCTAAACGGGAAGCGATTATATTTTACGAATGACAGGGCCAAGTAATCTGCCATTAAAAAGAAGTACGGTAGTTTTAGGACACCATGTATTATATATACAGGGTGATTCAGAACCTCTGCGACAAACTTCGAAGAATGATAGATCTCGTAGAGAGGGTTATTTTTTGTGAAGCAACCCATGTTCTCTGACGCGTCGTTTAGGAGCTACGCGACCGAGCAGACAGGTCTTAAATGACATTTATTACAATTATGAGATGAATTATTCATTTATTATTTTAAGTACACTTGCAGACAGTTTGCAGAAGGTATTCAAATAGCCCAGTCAATAGAGACGAAAAAAGGCGATTTGATTACATTAAATCCAGGAGTTTTGAAATTTAACAGGATCACATAGTTTTGTGTCCTAAATAATTTTCTAAATTTTTGACCTTGGCGGAGCGCCGCTTGCGCCGCCATATTGGAAAAATGGGGCGAAAAAACGGTTTTTTCGTAATATCTCTTTTTGGTTGGTTCTATGACAAAAATAGTTATTATCAATATTATAGAAGAGGAAATTTCCTACAACTTTTGTCTGAAACTTTTTTCAGTAGATTGGATAGTTTCCGACCTACAGTGACGTAAAAACGGACAATATTCTTCGAATTTTTGGAAATGCTTGTTTCTGACCTATAGCGGCGTAAAAGCAGACAATATTCTGCGAATTTTTGAAAATGTATGTTTTTACTCGAATTCTTGAATGTTATTAATTGTATGTTGACATTGTCGACTATCGATTATATCATAAATTAACTATCAACTCATTTCCACACCACCATGAGGTAGAGTTATCGGCGCGTTTTTTTTTAATGTGGTATTCCCAGTAGGCTTCTTTAATCCACATTCGCAATATATTTTTAAATTATTAACTATAAACAGCTCCGTTTTGATGGTCCAGCCCAGTAAACATCCGATATCCTATGTATATACACGGAATATCCATAATGTGAAAAAAAACGTACTGTACATACTATGTACATACATAGAATATACATAAAACGTATACTTTGGGATATTCGTAGGACATCGTATGGATATACATGACTTGTATATTCAAACGAGATCACATCGTAAATATACATAGAATATACCTCACGTACATTTTATGTATATACGTGAAATGTATATACATACGATATACGCTGATGTAGATACATTTATGGATATACATAGGATATCGTATGAATATACATAACATGTATATTCGAACGAGACTGCTGTCTGTATATACATTTGATGTAAATACACGGAATGTACATTAGATATATTCTAATGTATATATAGGCAGGGGTCTTGTTCAAATATACATGTTATGTATATTCATACGATATCCTATGTATATCCATAAATGTATCTACATCAGCGTATATCGTATGTATATACATTTCATGTATATGCACGGAATGTACATAAGATATATTCTATGTATATATGTATGTATATAGGCAACGGTCTCGTTCGAATATACATGTTATGTATATTCATACGATATCCAATGTATATTCATAAATGTATCTACATCAGTATATATCGTATGTATATACATTTCATGTATATGCACGGAATATACATGAGATATATTCTATTTTTCTAGGTGAAGGCACTTCGGAGATTTGAAGGTCATTTTTATTTTGTTAAATGAAACCATCCTAATTTTTTTATTATAAATCAATCCTCGCAATATTTGACGTAAAAATTTATAAGGGTAGAATAACCATAAATTGAATAGTTTACGAGATATTTTATACTTTAATTTGACATAATTTTACATAAACTACGAAATATTCGTAAAATATTCATTTTTTAATTATTTTACCTCAATATTTTTTGCACAAATTAATGAGAGGAATCAATTGATATAAAGAAAACACATAGTTGTCTTTAAGAAAAAATATATAGTTGCTCGTTGCAAATTTAGTAGTGTTTATCAATTACTTTATCAGTATTTATGAATGTATTAATATTTATTTTATTAATTTATTAATTAATTTTTGAAATATGTTTAGATAATTTAGAAAAAATTTAACAAGGATCCATACGATACCTATTTCTTCTCAGACTAAATACTTCACTGAGACCACATTTATCGCGCATGCGCGTCAAATCCGGCCCATCTGAGAACACTGGTGCAATGGCCCTTTGTGATCAGAGTGCCACATGTTTAGTTAGAACAGTACCAAGAAATAAATTAAGAAGAAAATTAATTAATTAAGTGATCAGAGTTCGTCAAGTTCAATTATCGATTGAATTTCTGCTATAAAAAAGTAAGTAGTGTATTTTTTTACTAAAAGCCATTAGTTATTTCTTTCTCTTCATTTATATCTTAGAATTGTAAGTCAAATATAACCTATAAATATACACGTGGAAATGCATGGAAGATATTCTCAGGTATTTTTTCTATCATGTTATATGATTATGTTACATTGAATTATTTATATAAAGTTAAGTTAATTGTACGGGACTGAAATGTGGAATATAATAAAATAATTCACAAGGTAAAGTGGCAAAGGAATTATCATAAAATCTATTGTATTTCAAAGAAATACAACAGAAATACGAATTAAAAAGTTTGTTTACACTTATGGTGTTAATTTTTTGCCAAAAATTAATAAACCTTTACAATATGTTATTAGAACTATACAATAAAATATACAATGGAATAGATACAATAGAAATACAGTTAATAGATATATTGTATTTCAAAGAAATATAATAGATTTTATGCTACTTCTTTTCTCATTTCACATTATTAACTTTGTCTAAATTGTATTTGGGCGTTGATAGATTCAAAAATTTTCAAATACATTTGAAACTTTATGTATCTAATATATTTTCTTTCTTTTTTTAATCATATAATTTAAATTAATAAAATATCTGAGAAATATGTGCACTGCGAAGGAATAATTTATAATGGTTTAGTCACAATTACAAATGACGATGCTTTGCACAATTTTAATAAATTTACTAACAAAATTTACCTACTATTTTTTATTGGTTAATTTTTATGTTGTGTTCATTGATCGCTTAGCAATGATTGACGAATGCATCGTGAACACATAGATATAACGTAACCAGAACGTAAAATTTAATCAATACAAATCTAATTAATTTTGCTTTTATTTTACAATATCAAAATACAGAAATATATTATTTTTGGAGAATTCTAATAAAATTATTATCGGCTGTTAATTATCGTTATCGGGCTACTAACTTCCTTACATTCTCATCTCGGCGAGACCGAATCATTAATTACTCTATATTAATTTTTTTACAGAATCATTTTGAAGTTTTTGTGTTACTAACATTTGCAAATAAATTACACATGTTATATGACAAATAAACTTTTACAAGTATATAAATTAGTTATGGATAATGTTAATAAAAAAAGTAAATTTTCTAGACAACTTCGAAACAGATTAAATCAATCTTTAACTATAATCAATACTCTCAACCTTAATACTTTCGAAAAGACAACTAATTACTCACAACCTGATACACCGAATATTTCTAAAAGTAACTCATCAAGTTGTAAACCTGATACTAATTTTGACAATATTTCTTATAATGATAATAACAGTAACCATGACATTGACGTATTTATCAATTCAAGAATTTTGAATTGTGGTGAAAATATTCAAAGTGTCGACGTATCAGATATTAATCATGCTATCATAATTGAAAATAAAGAGCATGTTTTTTGCTCAAAGTTACAAAAATGGGCCATTAACGAAAATGTAACTCACTCAACCCTTAATAGTTTATTGAACATTTTACGAGCAGAACCTGGCTATAATTATTTGCCCAAAGATGCGAGAACACTTTTAAAAACGCCACAGAATACACATGCAAAAAAACTCGGATCAGGATTATACTATTATTTTGGAATAAATGAAACCTTAAGTAACCTATGTAATAAACAAAATATAATAATTATGCAAAATCAAGAAATTTTACTAGCAGCGAATATTGACGACCTACCTCTATCTAAAAATACGAATAGTTCTTTTTGGCCAATATTATGTACTGTCAAATCAGTTGACAAAATTAAAAATAAAGTGTTGGTACATTGTCAAGTTTGAAGATGAAGATACGGTTGAAGCGGTATCAAAAACTTGGTACTCAAAAGATACAAAAGAATGCAACTGGCCTCCATCGCATTGGAATCCAAATAAAATTAATGATTATATAAAATTCAAGAAGGCGCCAGAATATGACTGGAATCGTCATAGAGTTATCATTTTAGGTACCTACGGTAAGATGTGTGTCCTGTATAATATTTTTTACTTATATAACTAAATATGAGTATTCTTTTTACTGAAATAAAATTAATAAATGAAAAATTAAGAAACTATTTTGCAACTAGTTAAACAATTTACAAATAGAGACACGATTTTATAATACTTTATTATATATTATGCACGGTCATTAAAATCTTCATTGCTGTTTTTAGAAGATCTATCTGTTGCTCAACGAAAAGCGGATAAGGCCAAATATACGTTTGATCTTTCGTCTTTCCTTCTGTACTCGTAAAAGGAATCTCATAGTTGTCATTTAATTCGATTTCTTCGTTAACCCCAGTAAAAGACAATGTCTCGTCAATTTCTGTCTTCATTTATTTCTGCCATCAACATATCCTCATCATACAATTCTGTTGTCATCATTGATGAAAACATAGATCTGATTTTATTGATAGGATTAGCAAGATCACATTCAAATATTTATCTTAAATATTTATTTTAAAAAGTCAGGTAAAGGAAAAATTCCAGAAAAATTGTATTATTTTCAAAGTTTTCTATATGGAGAAGCAGCAGCAGATAATATACTGTTCCTCCATGCATTCAGCGAATGCGATACAACATCTGCTATATTTAATATAGGAAAAAACAAGTTTTTTACTATTCTTGAGAAGAATCCGCACTTGAATAATATTGTGCAAATATACAAGCAAAATGACATAGACCGTGAACTTATTGCTACTGCCGGAGAAAGATTTCTGATCGCGTTATACGGTGATAAAAGAATCGAAACATCAGGTTCACTTCGCTACCAACGATTTGCGAAATCGGTAATAAAAAGTAAATTTCATCTTGCCTCGTTGCCACCTACACGAGAAGCTGCACGTCAGCATTCATTTAGGACATCATCGAGTTTAGACTTGGTATGGCATCCCACAAAATCCACAGGAGTGGGGCTGGCAAAGGAGCAAAACTGGAATTATTCCAGTTAGAAACACAAAAGATCCTGCTCCTCAAGCTTTGCTCTAATTTATTTCATGTAAATGCAAGACGAAATGCGGTGCACCTTACGGTTGTAGAAAAGCGGGCCTTAAATGCTCCATTATCTGCGATTACTGCAATGGACAAACATGTGAAAACATACCACAGATTTTGAACGATTTTGAAGATGAGGATGAAGAAAAAATACAGGCAGAAATTGAAGAAACATTGCCCTTAATGAGATCAACGAAGAATGAAACGACAACTTTGAAATTCCATTTCCAACTACAGAAGAAATAGATGAGAGAGATCATCCTGGACCATCAAAACGGTGCCGTTTACAATAATTTAAGATATATTGTGAGAGTGGATTGGGCTTGCTGGGGATACCACATTACAAAAAAAACGCACCGGTAACTCTACCTCTTGTGGAATGGAGTTGGTTGATAGTTAATTTATGATATAATCCAGGCCTGCGGCCGGTTTGTACTTTTCGGCCGATCTTGGCTGCTGCCATCCCCACTCCTTTTGTTTAATAATATCTAGGCTGCTCGCGGAGACGTAAGATACTCGAACGGTATTAGCTGTACATCATATGGGGTTTTAGCATGTATAGTTCCGCGCGCTCTTTACTGTTTACAGAGTTATTATGTTTATTATTATTATGTTATAGAGTTAAAGGTAACATTAAAATGAAGAATACATATGTTAATTATACATATATGTACATACAGGGTGAGTTTTTTAACTTGAGACTGCAAAATATCTGTAAAAATAAGCATTGTACGAAAAAAATGTTCCCAATAAACCCTCAATATTTTTGATAACTTCACTTGCGCACAGTACAATTGAACACGTTGCAATTGCACACTGTGATATTAGACACATAAAGTTGCGCACCGTTCGATTGGACACATTTCAATTGCGCACAATTCGTTTGGACACATTTCATTTGCGCACCGTTCAATTTATTTACTAAATAAAGTTAATAATAAATGTCAAAAAATTTCAAAATTATACATGCGTGTGTATGTATTTCAAATTATACAAAAACATGTGTTGTGTCGAAAAACAACGTGTCCAATTGAACGGAGCGCAAATGAAATGTGTCCAAACGAACTGTGCGCAAGTGAAATGTGCCCAATCGAACGGTGCGCAACTTTATGTGTCTAATATCACAGTGTGCAATTGCAACGTGTCCAATTGTACTGTGCGCAAGTGACCCTCTCCCAATATTTTCGGTAAATATAGCGAATAGGGGACCCAGCCCCAATGACCTTGACCTTGACATATGTTGTCAAGGACATAATTGTAACTTTATTTTCGAGGGGGCAAGCCCATCCCGCAAAAGTTAGCCGCCTACCCCCCCTCCCTGGGAGTGGGGCTGGGGGTAAGTTTGAAATCTTAAAGGGGAACCCCTACTTTTTATTGCATATTGTAGCTTATCTCGAGAGCTTTTCAAAACACTGTTACGTCCAGACTCGGGGAAGGATGAGTCGACGGAAGGGCGCAACAACTATCTTTAATTTTCCCGAAATTAAACGTCTCGTGGCGTTTGGAATCGGGTCGAACGAACTAACAGGTTTAAAAAGCAGGTAAACAACTGAGTCGCTGTTACGCTGATTATTCAGACGTTCGTTCGGTGGTCCCTTTTTGGTAAGAGAATTTAATCTCTTTTACGCGGGATGGGACCAAGTGCGATCTTTCGACTAGAGGAATGAGTGGGGGGTTTAATAAAGAGTTATTTTGATTTTTAAAATAACAAAATGTAAATTTATTCATTTTAAAAGTAAATGGTGGATATACATGATTATATAAAAAAAATTAAAATAGAAAAATTGTTGATTATAATTTCTCGGTGAGTGTACATGTGTATGCGTGTTTTTTTTAATTCGCGGGTGTTACATCAATACGGAGGACATCAGTCAGAAATGCAATGGAATGATGTTTTAGGTCTTGGAAATCGTTGTACCGCTTCTAATTTTTTCGGATCTGGTTTTACTCCGTCTTTACTGATTACGTGTCCCAGATAAGTTACTTCCGTTTTTAAAAATTCGCATTTGTCTGGCTGTAATTTTAAATTAGCTTCATATTCTTGTAGCTTATCTCGAAAGCTTTTCAAAACACTATAATAAAGTATTTTTTCATTAAGTACTTTTTGGATTATTTTATATCTTAATCTGACATATTTTGATATAAAAAATTTAATATCTCGTAAAATATTTAGTTTTCGATAATTTTGCCGTAATACTATTATGTACAAAATAATGAAACAAATCAATTGGTATGTTTCCTATTGTTGGAAGATATGAAACGTAGTGATTCGTACTGCTTTCATTTATTCATCCGAAAAGCAAACGACGAAGTCGTAGTAATGCCTCGTTTGAATGAAATTCAGTGTGCGCAAATCATTGCTCTTTTGGAAGAAGGATTAAGCCAGAATCATGTTGCAAAAAGAATGGATGTTCATCAATCCTCCATTTCTCGAATTTAGTCTCATTATTAACAGACTGGCAGATTTCGTCGAAGGGAAGGACAAGGTCGTAGACGAGTAACATCAGCTCGAGACGATCGCTTAATCGTCAATAAAGCAATGCATAATCCGTCAGCGATTGCGCGACAAATTGCAAATGCAGTTTTCCCTCATAGACAAATCAGTGATCAAATAATCAGAAGGCGTTTGCATGAAAGAGGCTTGAGGTCGCGTGCTCGTGCTCGAGTGCCAATGTTGTCTGTGGCTCATCAACGTGCTCGTCGGCAACATGCACGCACTCATCAGAAGTGGAGTGCGAGACAGTGGAAGAACGTATTGTTCACTGACAAATCACGGTTTTGTCTCTTCAGTTCCGATGGAAGAATCCGTGTTTGGCGTCGTCAGGGCAGTGATGCGCTGTCGTGGGAATAAAGTCGCGCATGCGCACTAAGCAAGCGCTACGTATCCTCACTAATGTATATAGTTCAATCAAATATGAGGTATCGTTAGGTACCCTCCAGCGAGAAAAAATATATGAAGGAATTTGCAAGCAATGTTTCTACCAAAGAATGTTGCAAAGAATGTTTCTATTAAAGAAATAAAATACATTAAATATATATGATAATAGAAAATGTATTTTTTATTTTTTACGTCTGCAGCCGATTTATTTATACATGAATATCAACATTTGTTGCGAGGGTAAGGGAAACTGCAACAATAGGCAACATTCTCCATTCATAAGCTAAGGCCGTAATATCGGAAAGAACCCTGCACTAATCATATGGAAAATCTGTCCCGGTCAAAT